AGGGCCCCAGTCTGTCTTCCTCCAGTTTTCCAAATTCTGGGTACAGGAAAAGGTGTCAGCAACAGAGTACCAGTCCCATGAAGGGGAAGTGAAGAATGGTTAGGGGGAAAGGAACAAACAGGGATTGTGAGTGCCTGGGAGGGCAGAAGTCTAAGCCTGAGGGGTCTGGGCCAGGATCTCAGAGAGGGCTGGGGAGGAATAGGGGTTCCCTTATGCAGAGACACAGGGATTCCCACAAACTTACAAGCGTCCAAAGACATGTTTGTGTGAACATAGACCAGACAGAGAGTTTGGACAGATATATACACACTTATGGATTAGCACAGACCCTACCTTGACACAGTTTCATGAATAAATGGAAAGGTACTTATTAGATGCTTATTATGTACAAAGCACATTAATACAGCTATACATTTGGAGACATATAAACACACTAGGCTTGGATTTCTTATACTGCCAACCCCCCCAACACACACACACACACACACACACACACACACACACATACATACACACACACACTCTTGCAGTCTCACACTCACACCCTTCATCACAGCCACCTCTGTCAGCTGACAATGGATCTGAGTTTAGGTAGGTGGAGATACCGAGGAGGGAGAGGGATCCTGGTTTTTCTCCAGGGAACCAGGCTAGGACCCTTTCCCAGTTACATACTGAGGTGGGGTTGGGTGGACCTGGTTTGGGGGGAGCCTAAAAAAAAGAGAAAGCAGGGGGAAAAAACTTGAGCGGGATATTCTTGCTGAGCAACAGAGCGTGAGTAACTGGCGGAGGCTTTTCGTGGTCTGGTGAGTCTAAGCTATGAGCTGAGTTTAACTATTAATACACTTAATCAAGGATGTCCCAGTGCGTTCTCCACATACCCCACACCCCTCCCATACTGGGGGTGGGTGAAGGGAGGTATATGGAGAACGCACTGGGACATCTCCAAAGACTGATCTAGTGTGTGAAAGTAGAGGGGAACACCTGAAATGGGAAGGCCTCAAGTTCTGCCCCCACCCTCCAGGAAATTGGGATATGTCTATAAATATAGAGACCTATGTGTGGGGAGGACCCCACTACCCAAACAGCTACTTTGGCACAATTCAAGCACCTATTCTCCAAACATATACAATAACTTTTTCTAGGAGGCAGTATCTCAATTAGCTTATACCTCCAAACTGGGAAAGAGCTTTGGGTGTCCACCCCTTCCAAAAAAAGAGACATCCTTAAGACAAAAATTCAACTACCCTAAAGTCTAATCCCAATCTAATTACCCTCCATCAGTTTTTCCATCTGTCAAATGGGTAGAAGGAGACTATCATTCAAAATGTGAAGACTTAATGGGGAGGAGGTCCCAGTGCCTCCCTGACACAAAGAACTGCTGGGGAGGGGATGGGAAAGAGAGATGGACTCCCAGCTCCCTTCCACCCCCTGGGGCAGGACATCCCTGGCTTCACATGATAAAGACCTGCAGCCCATAAATCAACAAGCTTTGCCCATGGTCGGTTCGACCTAAACCCAATCACCTGCTGAGCTAAGGAAAAACAAGCCTGCCCAAAATAAATAAATAAATAAATAAATAAATAAATAAATAAATAAATAAATAAATAAATAAATAAATAAATAAGGTACTGTGGTTAAACCTCTCCAGCACCAAAGGGAGGGGGATAAAGGAGGGAATAATACATTTGGGCCCCACAATGTGGGAAAAGCTCTGCTCATCAACCATCTAACTGAAAGGGGTCAGGTTTCAGAAGAGGCACAGTAGGACCCTCAATTAACCCACACTCCCCCCACTATTCTCCACAGGTGGACTGAATCCAGCCCTCTCAAGCTCCAGAAAGATTTCTAGAGCACCCTTCAAACCACCCAAGGGGGTAGGGGCAAGGGTGGGGAGGGGAGGGGAGGGGAGTGGAGGTGGGGAGGGGAGTGGAGATGGGGAGGGGACTAAAGACTACATTTCAGCTCCTAGAAAGGGAATACTCCCTCCCATCAATATTAACTTTATTCTGCATACCCCTCCAAGCCCCCAATCCTCCAAGGAATCTTCCTGTTTCTCTTCCAGGGAAATCCAGGAGGCAGAGAATCTGTTATATCAATACTGCTGCCCCCTTTCACTTCATCCAAGAGCTGAGTGAGTCTCCTTTGCTTTCCCCAATTCCTATAGAACTGAAGTTCCTTATTACCACAACACAGATTTAGGGTATGCTTATTTCTTTCCCAAACTCTGGATCAGAGTTTGGGTGCTGTTCCCCCCCACCCCCAGAGGTCACACTCAATAACCTGGGGCGATGTCTACAGAACTTGTCTTCCTGGAATATCACCTCCACCAGGCAGTGGGGGAGGAAACACTGAAGACTGTGTGTGTGCGTCCCCCCCCCCGCCGCCCCACCCTCTCCTCCCAGCCTGTCCGCTCCAGTGCCGGGCTTGGCAGCTGTGCGAAAATGCCTGAGTGTTCAAATGGCCCTCCCCAAGCAAGCCGGCACCCGAACGACTCCAGCGTGGCGCTCTCACATCCCCCGCCAGGCGGCCTCAGCGGAAAAGTTGAAAGAGATTCAGTGTTTTGTAGGCAAACCCCAGCGGGAGTTGGGGGAAAGAGGGGAGGGCACCCCAGTGGGTCCACCCCCATTCGCAGGCACACTTCCTGAACAGACTTAGTGGGGGTGGGGGGTGAGGGAGGTCTGCAGCAACCTGAGGAAAGAGCCCCTTCTCCCCATTCCGGAGTAACCTGGGCCGTCAAAGGGCAGGAAGACAGAGGTCAAATCCCTGGTTCTCCCAGACGACAACCCCATAGTCCCACCAAGCACCCTTACACTTGGCTCGCAGACCCCTCACTGTTCCGCAGGTGCGGGAGGCTTAGCCTAAAGGCTACTCAGGGTCCAGGGACAAAAGAGGGTGGGGTTATTACCGGACTTTCAACCCGTCTGGCCCAAAGTCTCACTCTCCCTAGGGGCCTCGGTCATTAATTTTCACTCTGGTTGCAATGGTCACTAAAAGGCACCACCCCTGCTCTTTCCTTTCCCCCTCAAAACCTGCGTGTTCCTCATATCCCCCTTCCAATTCTTTTACTTCCTGGGAAATGAAAACCAAAATTATTTCTCACTTGCCTATATGGACCTCAATGGTTCTGACAGCTCCTAGGATTTCTCCCTCTCCCCACAGCTCCCCGATGCCCCCTAAAAAGGACAGCATTTGCCATAGTTCCACAAAGCTAAGTCCATGATCTCACAGTGTTCCCTGCGCCCCTACTCAACAGAAAACCAGGGTAGGGTGTGAATGTATGTGTGTTTTTGGGAGGAGGGGGGCTGCGCTAAAGGACGACTTTCCGAGAAAAAAATTAAATTCCTCCTGGGGCGGTGTAATTTTACATAGACAATCCTAGTCCGAAGGGGTTAAAGGAGGGGAGGTCTTCCATACGCCTAAGGGGGAGGGGGAGTGAGAGAGAGCTAAGGGGAACATAGTAGGAGCTTAATAAAATGCTTGTTGACTTGACTCGCCTGGAGTCTGGTGAAGCAGACAGCTACCAGGAAGGTGGAGATGGTGGCGAACAGCACCACCGCCTCTGCCCCTTCACAAGAAGTCAAGGACCTACCCTGCTAAGGGGTCCCTGATCATCCGATAAGGCACCCGTTTCCCTCTTCCTCCCGCCAGGCGCGTCTTCTCTCATCCCCTCTCCTACCCTCCCCGTTCCTGCTAGTCTCCGCACAGCAGAGAACGGCACGGCCCGGCACGCCGCACAGCACAGCACAGCCCACGCTGGTCGCTAGAGACAGCCCTTTACACTGGAGAATCCCAAATACTGGGATAGACGAAGGGAGGAAGAAGGGGCGGGGGGGAGGACGAGCGGGGGAAGGAGGGGGAGAGACGGGCAAATACTTTGAAGGGGGAAAAATGCCAAACTTGATCAGCCTGCCCAGCACCCCGTATCCCGGCGAGGGCGAGGACGCGGAATGAATAGATCTAAAAGTATTCCCATCCCTGCAGGACCCCGATTCCGGCCAAATGCCGCCTCCCCAACTCCGGAGGTTGGGGGGGGGGTAGGGCGGGAAGAAGGGCAGCCACGCGTGGCTAAGGGCGCCGGGCTCAGAGTTAGCACCCACACACACACCCTAACCTGGAGCCAAGAGTGGTAGGGAGGTTGGGGGCGGGAGGGAGGTGACGAAGAGAAGGGGACAAAACTAGGGAACGTGAAAGGCCAAGCCTTCTTCATCCCCATTGCCACCAAGGCCCTAGCCCTCCCTCCACGCAGGGCATGGGCACAGGGCACCGGCACTGGCGCCAGCCCCGGGCTGAGAGAAAGGTCAGCATCGACCGGCAGGCTTGAGAAGGAGCACAGACTCCCTTCTTCCCGAGCCTCAAAAGATCCCGACCTGCCCGAGGTCAGGGACACCCGCCTGGCTGAGGACCCCAGTCTCTCCCGGGAAACACCGCCTTCTACCCACCCCGCCCCCCGCCAGGGGAACCCCTTTCCCAACTCCTCGGAGCGCAAGGCTGACCCCAACTGGGAGAGGGGGGCAAAGCCGTACCCAGCCCCCACCCCAGTTCCGCGCCGCAGAGTGGTCACGCCCCCCCCCACCCCCGACCCTAAAACCCCGCTTTTTGTCTGGACTCAATGATCTGCGACCGAGCAGGCAGCAGCCCCGGAATCGCAGCGGAGTCCTAGCCGAGAAGATGGTCTCGGAGGCGGGGTACTTGGGCCCAGACCTCTCCCGCCCCTCCACGACCTCCTGAGTCCATGCTCCCCACACATCGGAGGGTGGCGGCCCCCAGACCCTAGACCCCCGCCCGCGGCTGTCCGCACCTGAACTTCGGGGAAGCGAGAGCCTGCAAACTTTCCGCCGACTTCCACCCAACTCCGGGTCCCCCCACCCCCGTCCGCTTAGCCTGTCCCAGGGGAGACGGGGGAGGGGCAGGGGGAGCCCAGCCCCGGGAGGGAGGGGAGGCTGAAGGGGCGGGGAGGTTGCGGGGGGGGGGGGTAGAAGGACAACAACCCCGACACCTACCCGAGCTCTCCGAAGCCGCCGGTGCCGCCGCCAACCGCGAAAAGGAGGGGGGGGGAGGTGGAGGGAGAGGAGGAGGACGAGGAGATGGGGGGGAGCGATGGGAAAAGCAGGGGGGAGCTGCAGCCGATCAGCCGCCGCCGCTCCGGGCAGCAGTAGCAGCAGCAGCAACAGCAGCAGCAGCCACCTCCCCCGTGCGCACTGTCGCCGCCCGGCTTAGCCCAGGGAATCCAGAGCGGCAACAAGAAAGGCGAGGGGAAAAAAAAGCACCTGCCCCCCTGTCCGCTTCCTCCCAGCCTTCCCTCTCCAAAAATTAAAAACAACAACAAAAAAAAAGCCAACTAATACTCAAATATTGAGAAAAGACAGGAGGGGTGCGCACGGCGCCCGCCGCCGGGTGGGGGCTTAAGAAGCAGGGCGCATGGCCCCGGAGGGGGCGATGCAGACTATGTACTGGTCCTGGGGCTCCACCGGGGCGCTGAGGATGCAGTGGGGCTCGACTGCCCCAGCTCCCTCCCAGTGCCGCTGCTGCTGCCGCCGCCGCCGCCGCCGCCGCCGCCGTCGCCGCCGCCTCTACATCCCAGCTCCGCCGCCGCGCGCTCGCTAGCTTGCTCGCCCGGGCTGGAGCTCCGAGCACTGAACGCTGCCCGGGGGCTGCAGGCAAAACCTGGACCGGACTCTTCCCACTCCCTTCCTCCCCCTCCCTCCTCTCTTCCCTTCCCTTCCCCTCCCCTTCCCTCCCCTCCCCTCCAACACTCTGGCCACTTGGACGCCGGGCCCCGTCGCCGCCTCCGCCACTGCCGCCGCCGCCGCTGCAGCCTCAGCAGCAGTTCTCTCGTTCTCGTTCTCTCTCCCCCCTCTCTCCTCTCTCTCTTTCTCTTTCTCTTTCTCTCCCCTCCTCTTTTGGGGTCTGGGTTCTCGCTTGCGTTTCTCACTAGTTCAGCTAAAGCTTCTTCCCTATAACTTTTGAGAAATATATATGCTTATATGTATGTGAGTGTGTGTATGCACACACTATAGTCCTGATTTCTTCTTCGGGGCTTGAAGAAGTCGGTGCGTTTCATAAAGATTTCCCTTTCCCTAACCTCCCCCCCCATCTACCGTAATGCAGAAAGAACGGCAAGTTTTTGGAAAGACTGGGCCGAGTCTCTACACTTATGGAAAAGAATAAAGTCTGTATAAGATAACACTATATAACAGATCTAAGATTTCACTGAACATAAGTGTTTCACAAATATAAGCAGTAATAATATTTGTGTGGTCTTTGCGAGTTGTTTTCAGAACCTCAAGGTGACTAGATATATGTGTATAATAATATTGGGGGTGGTTTCATATTAGACATAACTATAACAAACCAAACCAAGCATTAATAAAGGGCCTACTATGTGCTAGGCACTGGGTAGATACAAAGACAAAAAAATGAGACAGTCCCCAACCTGTTCCCAAGGAGCTTGTGTTTTTTCAACCTACACTGAATGTCTGAGTTGGGGAGAACCTTCAAAATCAACAGCCGGATTTTAAGGAGAGCTTACAGGGGGAAAGTGAGGGGGCTCTTAGTCAGACCTAAAACTTAGTTCTGGTTCACAAATGGGCGCTGCTTGCTCACAAATTTCCAGGACACAGGTTCCTGATTGTTTAGCAGGTTATTCATCTATCTAATCTTATCCTCCAATGTTTAAGGCCAAATGCTCCTCCGGGTATCCTTCCCCTTCTGCAGGTATCCTCCCCCTCCTCCAGTAACCCCTCTTACTGCTAAACTCCAACTTAAATGATAATTCAAAGGGCATTATAGGAGAAAACATTCAAATTTTCATTTTCCATGCTGTTGAGGGGGTGGGGCACAGAAAATCTAAAATACCAGATAATCCAAAAATGGCCTCTGTGGGGTTATGGAAAGTTCTCAGTAAATTTCTGTTAACTTGTAGACTTATTTACCTAGTAACACCTGAAGGGTAGTAACAAAAAATTTTTTTTTCCCCTTCCAATAGAAGAGAAGAGATGTGGTGAGTGATTTTTTGCCCAAAAGTGAATATTTTCAGAAGATAATTCAGGCACAGATAATAGTTTATGTATTTATGTGGCCCATCCCCAGGTGCATGAACCAAGGAGAGGGGAGATTGAAGTGGGTCTTATCTCTCCTTCAGCTTCAGTCTTTCTATCTGTCTCTCTTAGTCCCTGTGTTTGTCCATCTCTGTCTCTTAGGCTCTGTCTCTTCTATTAGCCTTGTCTGTCTTTGTGACCCAGTCTCTCGGGTGCCAGAGGCTATGGGGCTGAGCCAACCCAGAGAAATTCTTGGCCCTTCCCACTCCCTTTCCAACCCCTCCCCAGGTTCCCAACAGATATGCACTCCTACTCTCTGGGTCTTGTCCCAGCCTGGGTGACAGGCCAAAGGGCACAAGGCTTCAGGAATGCACCAGGGGCCTTCTGCCAAGGACTGGGCTGGGGACACTGTGACTATTCACAAAAGGTTTGGTTTGGACCCTTCTCTTCAGCCAGACTAACCAGATGGTCCTCTGGCTTTGCAGCTGAACATCTCCAAGCAAATAACATGCTCAATGATGGAGAAACTGAGGCACAGAGAAATGCAATTCTATAGGTCTGGATGGAAAGCCCAGAAGTCTGAATTCCCAGACTCCAACAGACCCAACATCCAGGATAATCACAAAAGCAGTGGCATCTGTCACCAAGGTGATAAGGACCCAAGCATCCTAGAATCTCATATCCTTTCATTGTGGAGGGGTAGAAAGGTCCTTGTCCATCATTGCCCTAAACTGTGTCTACATTTCCTACAGGGGGTAGGGAAGGAGAAGGGAAAGTGGAATTGGTCTACCTCAGTGAAACTATAGGCTTCTAATTACCCACATCTTTCTGTAGTGCCAGTCCCTGTTTAAGGCTAATGAGAAAAAACCTTTCTAAGGATCTCTGGTCTGGTTACACTGGAGACCTCCACTGTTGGCTTAAATTGCAACAGGAGGGATTTAGGTTAGACATAATAGAGGAATACTTCCCCACTGAGGATTGTTAGATGGGGGACTAGGTTTAGAGAGTGGGGAGGGAAGATTAAGGTGAACTCTCCTTCCCCAGAGATCAAAAACAGAAAGGATAGTCACCCCAATCCCCACACAGAACCTTTCCTGACTGAATGCTATGAAGTACTAGCTAGCTGGCCCTGGCTGCGGAGCTCTTTTCCTTGCTTGAGCTCTCTCAGTCTGAAAGACTCAAAAGGGACAGAGGCTAGAGGTTGATCCAGTTTGGGGGGAGGAAATGGGGCCAGAAAAAGTTCTTTGAATTTGAAACAAAAGCAAAATCATGAAAATAAGATTCAAACCCAGATCCAGAGTAGGTGTTAGCAATGACACTCCAGGTGGCCAGTGCAGAAAATACTGTAGAGTAAAAGAGAGAGAGATACAAGTTTCTTCAGCCAGTTTGCAAATTTTGAGGCTCAGCCTTCATTTTAGGGGGAGGGACACTTTCTACCCACCTAGTCTCCTTCACCTACCCCCACCTCCAGAGGAGGACTACTAGGAGGGAAATATCTCTTATTGTTGTCTGCAGTTGCAATTTAACTCTTTGCCGGTTTCCTGCAGTCAGTCATTCCACAAGTATGTGCTGACCTGTTACCTTGAGCCCAGCCCTTTGCTAAAGCCAGTGGGGGAGAAGAAGGAGGGGGAGGAGAAGGCAAATGCAGTAGGAATTGTGGAGTTGGAGGGATCAGATGTGTGTACAGGCCCTACCAGCTCCAGGCTGAGGGGCCCACTTGACTGATGTGAACAAAATGCCGCAAGAACTTGTGTTCCTGGCATGTCCTTTCACCTCTCCAGGCTCAGTTTCCCCATCACTAAAATGTGAGGGTTAGCTAATGATTGCTAGGGAGTCTTTCTGTTCAAACAGGTAATCGGAGCCTAGAGGCCTGGGAGAATGTTTTTCTCAAGTTTGCATCTTCCTCCCCCACTTGTAGTCCCGGAGACCCAGGTCTTTGCTGGGCGCCGTGGGAGTTCCATGAATATGTGTGTTGATTTGATTTGATTTGGTTTGAAGGATAGGGAGAATTTCAGCCTGGGGTGGGATGGCTCAGCAGGTTTGGAATCGAAGTCTGAAGCTCGACTCTAGAGGGAAAATGGATTCATCAACACCTCAATGGACCCCTTCCCAGCCCAGCCACCCAGAGTCTAGGCTACTGTGTTTAGCACAAGAAAGCCCAAAGCTTTCCACCCCCTAAACTTGTACATTCTTAAACAAAAGACCTTTAGTTGGGGTAATTCAGTTACCTCTTAAAGCTTCAAGTGGGTTTGCCTGGACCTTACCTTACAACTCTGAGAATAAGAGGAGAAAACTGGATTCTGAGGCAGAAGAGACAGGTGATGTGGAAGTGTGGTTTGTGGCCCACAGAAACCAGCCTGAGGGAGCCTGCTTTCAGTGGAGCCTGAACTGACACCAAAGGCAGAATCCTCAGTGTCCAAGAGTCACCAAAGAAAGAAAAAAGTCTTCCTTCAGAGATCTCCTGAATCTCAGAGATCTCCCTAGAAGACAGGTAAATGCAAAGACACAGAGATCTGCATAATCGCCGACAAGACGGGCTATGGTGCCAATACCTGCAGAGCTAACCCCCGGTCCTATGAAGGCTCTGAGGGGCAGGTTTGTACCCAGGAGCTGAATCTTCCCCTAGTTTCCCTTCTCTGCTTTCCAGTGACACTTGCAATCAGATTCATCTCCATAGATTAGATAGAAAACTCTTTGAGGGCAGGAACTATAAAATTCAGTCTTTGCATTTGAATTCTCTGCACCAAGAAAGCATTTAGCTAAAGCCTTACAGATAGTAGGCACTTAATTCCCCTTGCTGGGGAATCAATTGTGTGTAGGCACAACTAAGGTTTGTTGAGTGACTTCTTTTCTTTTCTTTTTTTTTTGGAGGCAATTGGGGTTAAGTGACTTGCCCAGGGTCACACAGCTAGTAAGTGTCTGAGACTGGAATGATTTATTTTCATAGCACATCTAGATGGAAAAAACCTAATTCAAAGGTTCTTAACTTTTGGCAGTCTGGTCAAGCCTATAGACCCCTTCTCGGAAGAATGGTGATTTTTTGTTTGTTTGTTTTAAATTTAGGCAATTGGAGTTAAGTGACTTGCCCAGGGTCACACAGCTAGTAAGTGTCAAGTGTTTGGTCTGAGGTCAGATTTGAACTCAGGTCCTCCTGACTTCAGGGCCGGTGCTCTATCCACTTCGCCACCTAGCTGCCCCTTGAATCATGTTTTTAAATGTATAAAATGAAATACGTTTAATTCACAAAAGAAATCAGTTTTTTTAAAATAAAGATGTAATTTGTTTTCTCCCATCCCAAGTTCACGGACCCCAGGTTAAGGATTCCTGAATCCAATCTCCTCATTTTATACATTAGGAAACTGAGGCAGAGAGAGGTAAAGCTACTTGCCCAAGGTCACACAGCACAGGGAGTAACAGAGACTGGCCTTCTGACTTCAGATCTGGTTAGCTTTCTTTCCACTGCATTAAAAATCTAAAAGCATTAC